ATCAAAACAACAAAAATAGTACATATTTCAATAACTGCTAAATATAAAAAGCAAAATTATAATGGCAATGAATCTTATAAAAAGTTAAATCGAATATGTTAATTTATTATCATAATGAGCCAGACTACTGGGTCCTATTCATATTTTCAATTTTGAATTTAACATGGGAAAATCTTCATTTACATAAAGAAACAAAAATGGCAATGGAAGGAGTTTTATCACAGCAAAATCACTGAATTCTTTACATTCCTTTTGGTATTTAAATTTATCTGCTTCAAAATTTGTTTAAAAATTAGAAAAGGATTTGTTAACTCATCATAACTGTTACTCATTTTCTCAATTCCTATGATGTATACAAAAAAGATATTACTAAGACTTATCATTTTCTTTCAATCAGAACCCTCTAATTTATTACAGGACACAGAAAAGATTGGGATAATTGAAATACTCTTAGTTTCAATGTCCCTTAGCAAAAAAAAAAAAAAAAAATTGTTTTTATCTTATCATCTATTTTAAATGTACTTCTGAAAAAAAAAATACCCTTAGAGCTGAATATTTTAGCTCACTTAGTTTAAGAAGAATATCTACCATACTGGAAAAAGGACAAAGTCAGTTGTTAATGCCAAACCAATCAGCCAAATGAGACAGCTTTTTCAGAAAAATACAACTTAATTTTCCAACTGGAATGTCAACTCATGTCCTCATCTCATTTCTAAATTTTAATTCTAAAACAGTAATAAGTAGCAGAGCCTCACAGGAACTCCTGTTTGGCTGAAACAAGGGACTACTCCTTTACTATTTATTCTTTTCTCTCAACCCAGGCATAATATTCTTTAGTAACAAACAGAGAATGAAGAGGTAACACCAACTAATAAAAACTTGTGGTCATTTTGGGAATTCAAAACACCGCAACACATGACAGTTTGACAGTTTTTAACATGAGGCATCACCCTCAACATATGTGTGTATAAATGTAGAGACTTTGAAAGAGAATTTTCCATTGAAGCCCTTTCATGTCCTTGACCCCAATAGCTAATCCTCCTCACATGCTCTTCATGCACATGATCTTGGCCCCAAACTGTTCCTCCTGGTCCTCTTGGTAAAATCCAAGATGATCAACCAATGGCTGCCAATATCCCTGAATAATTCCTTCATCTTCTGAGATTAATTGACTAATTGTTTCCGAAAAGAAACAAACTCCAGGTGACTCCCTACATCTTTCTTATACAAAGTTTAACCCTCTTCTCCCAAATTAGAATGCCCTCTTAAAATATTTCATGTGTAGCATTTTCAAATAATGGTTTATTCTTTGCTCTGGTTGATGCTCTTCCCTATAAGAGAAGAAGCTCTACCTAACACCTTAACTGAGGAGGCTTCACTGACACTAGTAATTTGAATCATCTCTTTCTTCTAGACAGCTTGGAGGATTTTTCACCTACTCCTTCAAAGTAATACAACGTAAAAATAGTTAAGATTCTTGAGAATATCTTCATTAAAGTAGATGAAAGGCAACTGTGAACAGATGTTAGAAATGATAAGCAGCATACAACACTACTTTGTTACTCCAACCACAGAAGCTTTATAAAGAAGACAGATTTTGGGAAGGAAAACATGGAAGTTACAAATTGAAAAATTGATTCCTTTAGAATTATTCACCTACCCCAGTTTGTAGAAGACTGGTTTAGTATGTCTAGCACACAATTACTAGGAAAGAAGTCACCATGAGCAGTATTCTGTTGAACAGCAGAAACAGATCCACAAATACAGCAGCTACAGGAATTATCAGACAGCAAATATAAAAACAAATATTTAAAACGCTCAAAGCAATAAAGAGTTTTGGTCAGGTGTGGTGGCTCATGCCTGTAATCCCCGCACACTGGAAGGCTGAGGTGAGAGGATTGCTTGAGCCCAGCAGCTCGAGACTAGCCTGGGAAACATAACAAAAACTCATCTCTATAAAAAAAAAAAAATTCAAGAAAGAGCCAGGTGTGGTGGTGTGTTCCTGTAGTCCAAGCTATTCCGGGCATCGAGAATATCACCTGAGTCTACGAGGCCAAGGCTACAAGGAGCTGTGAATATGTCACTGTACTCCAGTCTGGGTGACAAAGCGAGACCCCCAAGTCAAAAAAACAAGAGGGTTAAAAAAAAAAACAACACACACATCAGTAAGAAGAAACTATCAGAAATGGCTAGACCAAAATGAAAATAAAAACAGAGGACACTCAGAAAAAAAAAATCAAAGCAGAAACTCAATAAATTGGTTAAACATTAAGATATATAGAGGTAAAAGCAGGTTTCAAGAAATTATACACGGATAGCACAGAGACAAAGACATAAGTATGAAATAATTATGAAACAAAGAAATTAAAGGGGAGAAACACAACACATGTTTAATCAAAAATTCAGAAGAACAGAGATAACAAAGGAGAAGCAATATTTGAACAGATAATAGTAGAGAGTTTTCTAGTATTGATGAAAGATAGCTGTCACAGATTCAGAGAGCCAAAGTACCAACAAGTACACAAAAAGGAATCAAGGCCTTATAAGAATGTATATAAAGAAAGATATCAATAAATTGGTTATATTTTAAAATTAAGAACTTTTGAACAACAAAGGACTTCATAAGTGGAGTGAAAAATCAAACTATGAACTGAGAGAGGACATTCCCATCACATCAAGTGGTAGCATCTACACTATTAAGACAAACAGTGCAACAGAAAAATGGGCAAAAGCAATAAATAAGCAGCTTCAAAGAGATCACAATTGATTAACATATGAAAAGATGCTCAACCTCATTAAGACCCAGAGAATTGCAAATTTCACTCCAATGAGACACCATTTCACACCCACCAGATAGGCAAAATTTTAAAAGTCTAATAATATCAAATGTGGTGAGTATATTAGTATTCACTTTATTATTCCTTAAGCTCTATCTGTTCATCATATATGTTGTTTTATCTGCATGTTTCATAACAAAAATTTTAAGTACCACGTTAAATAAAAATAATAGCAATAAAAATAATTGTTCATAACCCTAGTAAGAGCAGTTTCAGTGAAACAGTGGGTATGGCTGCAATGGGCTGAAAAGGTTCTACAAGATAAAGATGTTACAGACAACCATTTCAAACTTCATACCTATGAGGGTGGGCAGACAGGACTGCAACTTCAGGAGAGTATCATGATGAGAGTTTGTCATTTTTTAAATAAAGGAAACTGGGTTACAGCAAAAGGGAGAGGATAATGACAGGAAATAGAGAGCCCCTGGCTGTCACAGATGCCTCATACATAAACCAAGAAAAGGGATTAATTTCTGCCATGAACAAGGGGTCCTATTCCATGTTGGAGACTACCTCTTTGTCTTTATCACATCACTTTCCCCCTGGCTCTACACATTTCAGTCACAATAGTCACTGTGCTCCTCTTTCCAGCAAGCCTCTACTTCAGAATTTTTACACTTTTACTCTCTCTGTGGAGAATACACTTTCTATATGAAGCAAGGCCTGCCTTTCACTCCTTTCTTTGCTCAAATATCCACACAAAGCAAGTGTTCCCTGGTCACTTTGAAACTGAAATCCCTCTAAGCTCCTGTCAACACTACTCTCCGTACTCCTTTCTCCCTTTTCCTTGCCTTTATTTTTTTCATAACTTTTGAATACTCAGTATAATACATTCTTTGTAATGTTTAAATCTCCCTACCCCCATTGTATGTAAGCACCATTCATGCAAGAACTGTAGCCACGGTGCCTAGTAATGCCAGGTACAAGGTGGAAGCTCAATAAATACACGCTGAATGAATGAATGATCAATGAAATCCCGCTGGAAGAACCTGAAGAACAAGTATAATGGAAATAATGCTGTAAGATTTGAACAAAACAAGGTAAAGGGCAGAGAATAATCAATTTACTGTCTATGGAAGAGGTGACATTTGAGTGAGATCTTGAATCATGAGTGTGCCAAGTGCAAAATCAGTGGACATTTCAAGAGAGTGAAGAACATGGGCTGTCTAAAAGGGTCTTGCATATTTGAGAAATGGGGTACATTTGGAGTGTGGCAGGGATGACACTGGATTAGATTTTAGCTAACTTTATAACGTCCACAACAAAGGACACGTCATACTGAGCTTCTCAACTCTAAAAATCTTCCAGATTTATAGTTGTTCCGCTACGTGTTTTATTTGCAGTAAAGTTGGAGTACAGAATACAAAATAACGTTTACACGAAATTACTGGAATCACCTCCCTTTATTCACCACAAGGGGAAATGTATGAACAAACCTAATACATTTTTTCATCAACTGCAGATATATATATGCACCACAAAGTGGGTTTACTGCTATCAAAGTTCTCAGCAGCGGGTATTATTCAAAGAAGTCAAGACTAAAAATTCTCAAAGGTAGGAGAGAGCAGTTTCCATGGAGAAAGGGGAATGGCCAAATTCAGCCGCTTGTTTAGCGGCAGATACTCTCCATTTAACCATTTATGAAATCTCTGAATGGGCCTTCATGCTACCATAGTTAACCTTCACATATGACTGCTTCCAACTAGCCTATCTCCCGTCCATCCACATCACTATTATCTTTAGGACATTCACCTTTGTTTTAAACCTTACTCGATTACAGGTTATCCACAGATCGGATTCCAGGTGGAGACAGGAGGCCCTTCTGTGGACACAGAAAGAAAACCTCGGGGGAGTTGGTTCCAGAGTTTGCGAGCCCATGTAGTCGGTTCTGGGCCATTTCGGAACAAGACGGGAGAAGCTGTGGACACCACGGTGGTGATGTGGGGTTTCCGCCTTTCTGGGCCAGCGAGAAGCTCAGGCTCCCAGCGGAGGGCGGGGACTCCGGGAGTGGCCCTGGCAGGCCAGAGGTCAAAGCTCAGGCCAGAGGTCAAAGCTCAGGGCTAAAGCCAGGGGGCGGGGCACGCCCCAAGAACCTCGGGGGCGCCGTGTGGGCCCCGAAGCGTAACTGAGAAACAAGGAGCGCGGAGACTCGGAAAGACTCACAGTAATAAGCCACCACAGGGTCCCGCTTGTCATGCTCCTGAGCCGTCCTCAGATGATGCTGTATGCTCTTAAACTGGGGGGGGAGCGGGGGCAGCGGAGCTAGCGCGGCCATCTCTACTCCAGGAGTCACCACTTCCTACTCCCGCGCCCCCGACACTTCCGCTTCCGTCTGGGCGGTCGCGCGCACAAGCGCTCAGGGCAAATCCCGCCCACTCTTCCGTTGCTCGGCGACGTCTGGTCACCACGGATGCCCAACAGGGACAAACTCTGGGTGTCTGGCTCGTGGCAGTTAGTGCCCAGCGAAGGCTAAGCGTCTTGGCGGTCACGCCGCACATGGCACCAGCGCCCTCTGCTGGTCGGAGGAAGAAGCGTTTCGGTTTTGAGATTTTTATGTGGTTAATCTGTTGGGGTCCAAAGAAAGGATTTTCAGAAAGGGAAGCGCAAGAAAATGGTATTTGTTGACTGGGAGAAAGGACAGAGGCATGAATGGACTTTGGCATCATTTAGAAATTATTGCTTCTAGTTCCTCAAATAATAGTGTCCATAAAAGGCCTTTTGATTTTAGAAACGTCAATGTCACTTCTTGCATGAGAAGAGAAATTATGTGTTTAAATTAAATGTTTCTATGGTAACACTAAATACATGAAGCTTAAAGAAGATAAGACTTTCGTTCCGAACTGAGTGAATGAATAATCTGTAGATCGCTTATTTCTGGAGTTTGAAGAACAAATTGCAAAGTGTTTTCACATTCATTATTTCATCCGAACATGCAGACAGGGAAGGTGTCTGGGACTTCTTGTCCAAGCTGCCAACGCGCTGTTGTACAGTAGGCATCAGATTTTCCTTCTACCATCAATGACTTCGATTGCCTTTCTGTCCTCTCTATCCCAATCTATCATCCTTCAGGACTGCACACTGTGTGTACATCCTCCCATAACATCCATCTTTATTTTATCTCCGTCCGCAGTTTTGAGGATTCATCTTAAAACTAGTTGTCATTGAAATCACATTATCCCCAGGAACCAAAATCTCAAGCTCTGAAATTTCCCTCTGCCTACTCTTTTTGTGATGACTCCCTCTCCTCCACCCCCAGAGGAAACCCCTCCACGTCCTTGCATGATCCCACTCCACATCCTTTGCCTATAATTTTGTGCAGAGTCCATCATCTTATTCTGGGTCTGGCTTTTATTTTACCAAGCATGAAGCTGAGATCTGGATTCTTTCCAGTCTCAGCAACACACTCACTACCACTTGAGAATATATTTTTAAAAAATCTCTTATCCCCAATACCCTGAATTTCCAGGAAAAAGGGAGCTTGGTTGGGAGAGAAATAAATGAAGAAAAGTAGATGAAGATAATCATAATTTTTTTCTGTCCTCACAACTTCTCATTTACTATTTTCCTATTACTTCTTGATTCTCAACTATGGCTGCCCTTAAAGATCAGCTCAGAAGTTTTTGAAAAGACTCATATCCAGGCCCCAACTTCAGTCATTCTCATTAAGTTTTCTCAGTTGTATCCTACATATCTATCTTTAAAAAATATTCATATAATTTTAGTGGTACTCCTAAGGTTCAGGACCAGTGCCCTAGTGAATGTCTGTAGATGATGTTTCATGCTTTTCCCACTTTCTTAAAGCTAAGCCTTCTTCCCTGATCGCTTTGGTCAACAACTTCTGCTTCCTGCTATTGAGATTAAGGCCATCACCAGATATGAATTCTTTCACCTTGCCCCTGCCACAGATCAAAGTGATAATAACTATCTAGCATTTGCTGAGCATCTATTATGTATCATGCGTGTTTCTAGGGTCTTCATTTATTCATTTACTTTTCTCCACAACCCTGTGAGGAAGATATCATTATCATTATTTTATAGATGAGAAAAATAAGACCCATAGAATTTAGATAACTTGCACACGGTCACAGCCAGTAAGGATGATTGTTCCACCTTAAAATTTAGGTATTTGGATTTCAGAGCCTGTGCACCTAACTATAACTACTGAAATTTCTATAACTATAACTACTGGACTATGATGTCTCCCTAAACCAAAATATCCTTGTGTTTTATGTTTTCTCTATTCTATCTTCCTATGTCTGAAAAACAAATGTTCTCCTCTGTGATGAAAGCTGTATCTTTCTGTTATTCTCCTGATCCTCCTTTCAGGACTGGAAGTTCCATTCCCTTTCATTTGTATACATTTGGGGCAGAGTAAGGAGATTAACAAGGAAATGAAATTGTTAGAATTGGATTTTTTTTTCTATCTGTCACCATGTTTCTAAATACTGTATTCCCTTTGTGAGAAGATAATTGATATGATGGAGAGAAATACAGAGACACTGTTAGCATAATGGCACATTGAAATTATGCTATGAAACACAGTAAATATTAACAACAGTGAAGTTGGTTTTCTTGTTTTACTATGAAGAATTTACTATGATGTTTTAATTTGAAGAAGGACCTAAACTCTCTTCCATTTAGCTCTGTCCAGCTTCTGAAAAATCTGACATGACCTTTCAGGATGAGGTGAAAACCTTGACAAGTGAGGAAAGGGCAGAGATGTAGAAGAAGTTAGAAGTGAGGACAACCACGGGAAGAAAAAAAGGAAACTAGATCTAACAGGTGTTTTGATGGGAAAAGTTAAACTTTTTGCACCATACTATTCCCTGGATTCCATGTGTATGTGTAATCATTTCATGGTAAAAGTTTCTGTGCCAGTTGTGGTCCAAACTATTTTGGTGGCAAATGACAGGGAAGCAATCTAATCATGATAATATATCTCTGTAGTTATATCTTTTGGATGCACTTCATGTGGTAGAAATTTGGCTAACACATATTTTGTGGAATTTATTGCTCTGCATTTCATGAGAGTCACAGCCTATGAGTTTAGTGCTACTGAAATAGAGATAATTTTTCCTTAAATGTTCTAGTGGAAGAATGAAAGGGAAGACCCTGGGCAACCCCTTTGGGTCCCCTCTCACTATGGGAGCTTTTCTGTCCTCTCAATTAATCCTGTTTAAAAAAGAAGAAAAGAAAAGGAAGACCCTAAAAACATAGCCAGAGCCATTTACCTTCTCATGACTGGGACATGTTGACATAAAAAATGCAGTTTATATTTTCAATGTAGATCTTTAGTTGTTCTAGTGCCATTAAGTTACATTAGCACATTTAAAGAGATAAACTAACTGTATACATGAAGAATTATTTGATTTCCCTGTCATTCTCATTGCATATGCCTATCTTCATACCAAGTCCACACTGTTTTGATTACTGTACCTTTAAATAAGCCTTGAGAATATGTAGTGTAGGTCTTTCATTTTGCTTTTTCAAAATTGTATTGGCTATTTTAGGTCTTTTGCACTTCTGTATACATTTTAGAAACAACTTGCCAATTTCTACAAAAGTTTGCTGGGATTTTGACTGATATTGTATTGAATTTAGTTTAAATCAGCTTGGAGCGACTGAAGTTATAAATTATTAAGACTTCCAAACCATGGATATGATGTGGTTTATTGTTCCACTTAACCTAAAATCTCTTTAATTTCTTGTTGCACTGTTTCATAGTTTTCACTATACTGATCTAACACATATTTTGTGAAATTTATTGCTATGCATTTCATGTCTTTGGATTCTACTGTGTATGACATTTTTTAAAATTTAAAGTTCATTTTTATTACTCTATGGAAATATTAATCTACATAAATTTATTTTTTGAATATTCTTTAGAATTTTCAGTGTGCATGATCATGTCTGTGAAAAAAGATGAGATTTCATCTTTTCTAATCTGTGTATGTTTTTTGTCTTATTGTACTTATTGAATACATCACATATTCAAGATATTTGTTTATTTTGTTTTTGTCTTATAGAACTCCAGTAAACAGAAATGGTAAAAGTAGACATCCTTGCCTACTTCTAGATTATCAGGGAAATTATTCATTCTTTCATATGAAAAGGAATATTTCCTATAGGTTTTCTTAGATGCTTTCTATCAAGTTTAAGTAGTTCCTATTTATGGTGATAGGTTTGGGTTTTTTGTTTGTTTTGCTATAAATGGATGTTAAATTTAATCAAATACTTTTATCTGCATCTGTTAAGATAACTGTGATTTTTCTTCTTTATTCTATTAATGCAGTTCAATTAAATTAATTGATTTCCAAGTGTTAAAACAACTCAATTCCTGGGATAAACCCCTTAACATGTTGTGTTATCTTTATATATATTGTTGGGTTATATTTACTAATGCATTTATGCTAAGAATTTTTATTTCAAGGTTATATGGGTCTCATTAAATGAAATGTCAGATATTCCCTCCTAATTCCTAAAAGAGATTTTGGAGTATTATTTCTTCCATAAGCATTTGATTGGAATTAGCCATTGAAGCCAGTGAAGCCATCTGGGCCTGAAGGTTACTTTGTGGGAAGGCTTCCGATTTTAATTTCTTTATTAGGTATAAGAATAGTTGTATGTTCTATTTATTGTTTAGTCAGATTTTAGTAATATGCATTTTTCAAGGAATTTTAAATTTCATTTAATATCAAACTTATTATCATAATATTGTTCATATTTCCTTATAATCATTTAAATGTTCTATTGTAATATTTCGTTTTCATTTATCATACAGGTAATTTCCATTTTCTTCTTTATTATTTCAAACTGTCAAACTAGAAATGTATCAGCTTTACTAATATTAAAGAACCAGCTTTCTCTTTCATTTTCACTATTGTCTTTGGGTTTTCTATTAGTTTTATACTCTCATTTTTATTTCCATCCTTCCACTTAATTTGTATTTAAATTGTTCCTTTAACAGCTTCTTAAAGTCAGAAACTTAAATCATTCTAATGTATTATTTAGAACTTTTAATATTCTGCCAAACACTGTTTTAACTGCTTTCCACAATTTTGATGAATTGTGTTTCTTTTTTGTTGTTGTTCTATGTAGTTTTTAATTTCCCATGTATTTTCTTTTTTGGTCCATGGGCTAATCAAGGTATGTTGTTAATTTTTCAAACACTTGGACATACTCCTGAAATCTTATTTTTATTGATTTCTATTTTAATTCCATTGTGACCAGTGAATATACGCTGTATGATTTCAATCCTTCAGACTTTCTTATTAAGGTTAAACAATGGTCTCTTTTGGTGAATGTTCCACATACACTTGAAAAGAATTTACATTCTGTTGTTGCCTGGTGGAACATTCTACAAATATCAATTAATTCAAGTTGCTTATTAGTTATGTTTAATTTTTCTATATCCTTTTAGATATTTGTTTACCCTGTCAAGTGATTACTGAGAGAGAAAAAGAATTTT